CTGTGGGGCAGTTCCACTCTGTCCTCTAGGGGTGCTGTGGGTCAGAATGGACTCCAGGCAGTGGGTGTGGTTTGGGCTTTGCTTCTGGGAAGATTGACAGCCTTGGAGACCCTGTGGGCAGTTCCACTCTGTCCTCTAGGGGCGCTGTGGGTCAGAATGGACTCCACAGCAGTGGGTGTCGCTTGGGCTTTACTTCTGTGAAGACTGACAGCCTGGGGGGCAGTTCCAGTCTGTCCTCTAGGGGCGCTGTGGGTCAGAATCCACTCCAGGCAGTAGGTGTGGTTTGGACTTTGCTTCTGTGATGATTGACAGCCTTGGAGACTCTGTGGGGCAGTTCCACTCTGTCTTAGAGGGTTGCTATGAGTCGGAACTGACTTAATGACAGCAGGTTTGGTTCTCTGTCCCCTGACCATGTTACTCCATAGTTAGAGACACTGTGAGGTGAGAGGACACAGACAGTCCCGCCCCTCCGTTCCCAAGGACACACACCTGAGCGCAAGGAATGTCTCCCCGTCAGGAAAGCAGCTCGACTCGGGGTGCAGAGGGGTGCCGCCGCCAGGTGCTGCGTGAGCCTCACTCCTTCCCTGGCGAGTTGGTCGATATTTGGTGTCCTGGGGAAACCGCACGAACATCACTGTCGGGCACGGACCCCCAGATCCCACCAACCCAAACCTGAACCCCCTGCCATCGAGTGGATTCCGACTCACAGCAACCCCACGTGTGTCAGAGCCAAACTCTGCTGCACAGGGTTTTAATGGCTGAATTTTTTGGACGTAGATCACCAGCCCTTTCTTCTGAGGCACCTCCAACTTTTTAGTTTGCAGCTGAGAACTCTCACTGTTTGTAGGAGGCACGCCACTAACCGGGCACCAAAAGCCCAAACCAGAGGTGCTGTTGGTGACTCTCTTCTGACTCCTGGCTCCCCTGCGGGTGTCAGAGCACACCGTACTCCACAGGGTTTGCAGTGGGTGACTTTTTGGAAACTGATTGCCAGGACGTCCCTCTGAGGTAACTCTGTGTGGATTCAAACCTTCAGCCTTTGGGTGAGGACCCAAATGTTTAACTGCTGCACCACTCAGGGAGTAGTGGGTGACCTGTCCCCAAAAAGATCTGGCCAATACCACTGTCAACCACTCAGAGGGGAATCTATGTAGGAGATCCTGGATAGACAGGGAGAACAATGTGGAACAAAACTCAAAATCATTAAAAAAAAAGAGGGGGGTGGGAAGCAGGTTTGCTGGTCTGACAGAGCCTCGTGGAACCACTGAGCCTATGGCCCCTAGCTGCCCTTGGGGTCTGGAATTGAACCCCCACCTGTGGCCTCCAGCCAAACAAAAGACAGGCATAGGAGTTGAACATGTACCTGAGGTAGATACACTCCGTGGAGAGAACAATCCTGGGAGAAAGAAGGGCTGTGTGTGCACAGGGAGACAGCTCAGGGGCAGGAGTGCATGGAGGGATGGACACTGGGAAGAGGTAACTATGGGGAGGAAGTGGGAGGGGAGCTGTTGTATTGGGGTAAATTGTAGTCAATGTCATGACACAACGTGTGTGTAAACTGCTGTATGGAAAGTGAATCTGCTCTGTAAACTTTCACCCAAATCACAATTAAAAAAAAATAAAAGATCCGGCCAAGTCCTATTCCCCTGAAACCTGTGCCTGAGACTTTACTGGGAAATCCAAAACCAAAGTCACTGCCGTCGAGGGTTTCCAAGGCAGTATCACTACAGCAGTAGATTGCCCAACCTTCCTTCTGAGGAGTGGCTGGTGGATTTGAACCAGCAGCCATCTTGTTAGCAGTCAAGTGCCTTAGGCACTAGGCTACCAGCGCTCCTATTTGCACAGAAGCAAAGCCCAAACCAAACCCACTGCCTGGAGGGGATTCTGACTCACAGCGCCCCTAGAGGACAAAGTGGAACTGCACCACGGGTCGCCAAGGCTGTCAATCTTCACAGAAGCAAAGCCCAAACCACACCCACTGGAGTCCATTCCGACTCACAGCGCCCCTAGAGGACAGAGTGGAACTGCACCACAGGGTCTCCAAGGCTGTCAATCTTCACAGAAGCAAAGCCCAAACCACACCCACT